ACTAAAACATTTTCGTCATTTTCACTCTCGGAAAGTAAGAGGAACAAACAGGCAGAGAAGAGACGAGGAAGACGAAGATCTGGTTGAAGGCGATGAAGAAGAAACCGACATTTTCCCTGCAAATCAAGTCAAGTAGATCATTTATCAGGAAAGAAGGAAAGAAGAAATAATTATTTATTTATTATTGAGATTCAATCCATTCAGTTAGCTATTGTTTCTTATCTTTTCGGTGATTTTCTACCTAAAACTACCCTTGGGTTTACGAAGCCAGAGGGAGGCTCCAACTTAAACTTGTATTGATATTCTTGCTACGCGGGACCAAACACTCACTATCCCATTTTCTTCAACTTCAAAAAACCTCTTCTGCACAAAAAAACCTTCATGCGCGCGTGAGACCGGACATTGTCACCTTACAACAACACTTTTACGATTTCGTTCCCCGAGCCTGTTCTTCTTTTCACCGAGCCTCTCTGTATGATCTGTTGAGAAAGATTACTTCTGTCTAGGCCAAAAGTCGTGATTCATTCTAAGCCATGGGGCAGACCTTATCTGAGCCAGTGGTAGAAAAGGTGAGAACTGCTCTTTTTCACGCCGCAATTGTTCTCGGCTATTCACTCTTCCTGCTCTGTTCTGCTGCATTTGCTCCTGCTCCCGCGACATGTCTGCCCGCTTCCTTTGTTCCTGTTGGTGAGGGCTGAGTCCCGATCTGTTATCGCCCATCTTATCGATACCGCGACGCCCCAACACCCCTCATTTTGGAAAATCTCTGCTAACGACCGCCCGTTTTACCATAACAGACATCCAGCCGCGGTGAAGATGATTGCGTACTCTATGGCGTTTCGGCGATGCAGGGATGGAGGATTAGTATGGAGGATGCGCATGCTGCCGTGCTAGATTTACAGGCCAAGTACTCGAGCACAACCAACACACCCACGAGCCCCGACCAAAGGCTCTCATTCTTCGGCGTATACGATGGGCACGGCGGTGATAAGGTTGCATTATTTGCTGGGGAGAATATTCATCGCATTGTTGCCAGGCAGGAATCCTTTCAGAAAGGTGACATGGAGCAAGCGTTGAAAGATGGGTTTTTAGCCACTGATAGGGCTATTCTCGAAGGTCAGGATGGTTTCAAACGGAGACTACAAACTAAATACTGACTCTTGTCGATCTTATCAGATCCAAAATATGAGGAAGAAGTTTCAGGATGTACAGCCTCTGTTGGAATCGTTTCGAGGGAGAAAATCTGGGTTGTGCGTACCCCACACCAACCAACCGATCCAAGACAGTATCTAACCCTCGACTATCCATTTATAGGCAAATGCCGGTGATTCGAGATCAGTCCTTGGTGTCAAGGGACGCGCGAAACCTTTGTCTTTCGACCACAAGCCACAGAATGAGGGTTCGTCATATTCCAGCACAAATGTGCACCTAAAACTCACCACTGACAACTTTGTATAATAGGCGAGAAGGCGAGAATAAGTGCAGCAGGTGGCTTCGTCGATTTTGGACGTGTCAACGGAAATTTGGCCCTATCTCGCGCCATTGGTGATTTTGAATTCAAGAAGAGCACCGGGCTCTCGCCAGAGCAACAGATTGTCACCGCGTTCCCAGATGTAACCACCCACTCCATCACGGAGGATGACGAGTTCCTGGTTATCGCCTGCGATGGTGCGTATATTTCGAAAGTTTCCTTGCGTTTCAGCTTGATTTAATACCTGTTCTAACTGGATGATCGTCTTTTACAGGAATCTGGGATTGTCAGTCTTCTCAGGCCGTGGTTGAATTTGTCCGAAGAGGAATTGCTGCCAAACAGGAGCTCCACCGAATTTGTGAGAACATGATGGACAATTGTCTAGCATCGAACAGCGAAACCGGTGGTGTCGGGTGCGATAATATGACAATGGTTATTATTGGCCTCCTGCACGGAAAGACCACAGAAGAATGGTACAAGACCATTGGGGAGCGGGTTGCGAACGCCGACGGCCCCTGCGCGCCTCCCGAGTATGGCAAGTTTTGTTCCCCGAGATCCACCGGCTCGAGGCCTTGCTGACTCGTGGCCTATAGCTGAATTCCGTGGCCCCGGCATCCGTCGTCAATTCGATGATAGCCCGGATGACTACGATATTGACCTAGATAACCATACCAGGGGATTCGGACTTCAGTCTGGCAGAATCATACTTCTCGGTGATGGGACGGAAGTTCTCACGGATACGACTGAGGAGGAGATGTTTGACGAAGATAAAGATCTGGAGAGTCAGGTACGGAAGGATGGAAATGAAGCATCCGACAGGAATGAGCGTGAAGGCACGCCTGGACCACAGGCAAACCGTCTTAATGCCTCCGAGTCCGAGGCACCGAAGATATCAGAGTCGCCATCCTCTACCACTGGTGAAGGATCACCCAGCGCATCCTCCGAAGACAAAGCAAACGCTCAAAAGTAGCCAACCCCACAGACCTTACCTAACGATTCCTGGAGGTCTGAATAGGACTATGCATACCCTGCCATGTCCGTGTTTGTTTACATATCTTGTTCCGAATCGACAAAGCTCTAACGCGAGAGAGCCATGCCACCGTTCAGTATATATCCTCCCACTTCTCACGCACCAGGGATCGGAGGGGAGGGTTGAATTCGTTCCGGCCGGACCTTCACTAGAACGGTTTATTTTTGCTGTTTTAACTTGAGCTCAAGGTGTTATCGGGTAGAGAAGAGCGTATGCAAACACATTCGTAACTCGAGAGAGGCTCCCCCCTCCTTCTCCCGCCTTCTACACACTGTGCATGCATTGAATGAGGATGTTATTTTTCATGTCGAATCGGGAGATACCGAAACTTCCCCTTTTTATTTCCTTGCCCTTTTTCCTTTTACTGTTGAAATGTTTCTCCTTTTCTTTCTTTTGTTCCCTTATGCCACCAACCCCTATCCCCTGCCCACCTGTGTTTTTTTTTTCTGGGATGAGGGATAGTCTATAACTCGGGCGGATGTGATGAAATGAACTTGATTTGATGACCGGAAAGGCTTTTGCGCGGGAGGTGGGAAAGGGGTTTTATCTTTTGAGGAAGGGAGCCGGGGGGCGGGAATGGGACGAGATGCTGGTGAACTCGGGGGTGTCTTTCGTCGGAGGGTTGCTTGCAATGCAAGGGTGGTGAATGAGTGAAATAGCCAGCCAGCCAGCCGAACCACAAACCCCATCATATACATCTACTAGGCGTAATAGGTAACGTTTGACACAGGTTTGAAATAGTCCGGTCTTTCATCATTTTGTTTCTTCTCTGAAATGATTTGATCGGGAATGGTACTTATGTTTCTATGGTCGTTGGATTCTCTCTGTCTGTCTGTCTGCTCTCGTTCTCTTGATCAGGGGTTGACCATCCTGGATATGACCCCGGGCCCCTTTGTAGAGGTGATTCATCACATGATCGCGTTCTCATGCGAGTCTCCCGTCTCTTCGAAGTGAGCAAGGAGATCATCCTTTCCCAACACAAAAGTCCACTGTAGGATGATAGAGCGCCCAACCTCGGATCTCATATCATCCCAGTCTCGTTCTTATAAACCGGAAGAGACGTCAAAAGCATGATAAGCTAGGTATTTCCAAGACGCGTGTTCCAAATCCGAATCTGGGCCGTGAGGCGCTGAGTGGGAGTCTAAGTAGGTAGTACATACCTATAGCACGGGACATCAGCAGCACTTCAGGCGGAACCCACCGGGGATAATTCCAAGTAAGCCAGAGGATGCTTTCATGCTCCCAATGAAGCCATCTACACTTCAACCCCTTTCTTAGCTTTCCCAAAACCGAGAGGTGGTCCCTGTGCTACCGGGGAACACTATCCTACTGGATTATATTGCTTATCGCCCAATCTCATCCCGACGGAGATTACAGCAACTTATAGGACCGGGCTTTCAGGAACGTAAGAGCTTCATCCGTGGAATCGAACGGGCTTTCAAGCTCAAAACTTAAGAGGTGGAGGTGATTCTATTCTGAAACCCAGGGTGTTACCCGTGATCTGATGTCCGTGGTGCTCGAGCACGGAGGCCGAAGAGTTGTCGTTTAATATCCTTTCTCACGTATCTGGCTTGGGAGGGGGTATATATAACCATCATATCACCCACATTCACAGTATGATGAGCAGTTGAACGTCGAAGCACCTACCCAAGAGCATATTACACATCTATCCTTTCAGCATTCATACTCCCAACCTCCGCTCCCTTTCCACTGATAATGACAAGCCATACCCCCCTCCTCCTTCTCCTATCGCTATTTTCCCTCCAAGTCCTCGCGCAAAGCTCCATGGGAAGCAACAGCCTAGGAAGCAGCCTCGACGAGATCCTAGACGGCACCGAGGGGGTGTTGGAAGTAGTGGTCGGCGGTACATTAGGCACATTAGGATGCCTGGACCCTGACGAAACCAGCTGCTGAATCTAAACATTCAATCGGAACATTCTTTCGGCGGATACTGGAATCTATACATTCGCGAATTCCTCGTCTCCAGAAGGTCTGCGGCGGTTTGATTCGAAATATGCGTTGTAATGTACTTCGGAGGGAGGGGGGCTGATTCTTTAATATATTCCGTTGTAAGCTCTCACTCACCCTGTTAAACATCTCTCACTTTCGCTTGCCATATATTATTATGGGGAAGGAGGTCAGGAAGGTTGACTTCTGCCTATATCACATATTTAGTCCACTGAAAAGTTTATGTTGCCCTTGTATGGGTTCCGGTTGAGGAAGGGTAAGAGAAAAAGTTTGGGATCCAGGAGACCGGGGAATAGGGGTTACTACACGGGGCAAAGAGATAGACTTAGATTTTTCGGCAAAAATTCAATAATAATCCGTTAACCAGTTTCCTTCTTTTGTTCTTAGTATCAATGCTCAGCAACAAAGACTCTGGAGAATATACATGCACTGGTGGCTCGGTAGTGAAGGAAAATTTCGTGCCAGCGGAGGTATTCGTGGGCGCTATCACCCCATAGATCATTAGAATGGATCTGCATTTCATAATAACTTGGGCGTTTGGTTTAGTGGTATAATGCCTCATTCGCACCGCACTACCACCCAAAAATGGCTGGTTTTTGCTAGAATTGAGGAGGTCGCGCGTTCGATTCGCGCATCGTCCATACTTTTTTTCTCTTTTTTTTGAACAACCTCACCCATTCTCCTCCAACAAAAGAAGGCGAGATAAAATTATTTATGTGCCTGTTGCGCTATCGTCGCTCTACTTCTCTATGATAATTCTTGAATATGAGAAGCTAGAACTTGGGTTTTCCGTTGGTTTGAGCTTTGCCTTTCCTTATTTCTCAACGGCACAGTTGAAGTATCAGACGAAGTTCCGCAATCTAGAACGTCTTCACCATTCTATAGTCGTCAAAGCCGCTACAGGCAAACCGAAAATTCAATCCCCGTCTTCTGCGTAAAATCAGCGGTTTCAGTGCACTTTGAGAACCAGTGGCTCAGTTCAAGTTACAGATTATATTCGACTGTCCGATCGAACGATGCCCAGGGATCTCAAACCGCCTCGGACCCGACCCGAATCGGTTTGTGCCGCGTCCACAACCCGAGACCCTGATCGGCAACGATCCATCCCCGAGTGCTACGATAGCGGGAGTTGCGCAAAGTACTCCCGACGCCCGCGGATTCAGGGGGCGGCGACAGGCTTTCAGACCTGCTTGACAGAGGTGTTTCGATGCTCGGCATGCAAGCGCATTCTCTCCCCTCGCGTTACCGATGTGTAGCTCTCGGACTGGAGATCCCGAACGGCTGTTTTGCTACGTACCGATGTCTCTTTCATTCACCCCTTTTCCAGTTTCATGTCCTTGAAGCCGGAAATCCATGCCACGTGACAGACAACCTCAAGTCAGCCCTGCTGGATTTAGTGTGGCTGAGGGTGGCTTGGCGGGAGAAATGGCCCCCAAGCAAAGTCTTGGCTTACGTCATATCCCCTGAAGACTTTAATGGGTGAACATCGTGGAGAGTCCAAACACGTAGAGGTACTTTTTCCTGGGGGCTGTGAGATGTAGGGAAAATATAAACTGGGCGGAGTACTTAAGGGCCTCTCTGTCTCTTTTGACATATCCTTGAGTGATGCTGTGACTGAGCCTTACCTGGCCCCCAATTACTCCACACTGAACCAAGTGTCAAATACGGCATACCTGTGATATTCTATAAGTTCATCTTCTTCTCTTCCGAAGAAGAGTTATTTCTTTCATTCAGAATAGTCAATTCTTTGTTTGCTGCTACGTTGGTTAGGTACCCTCGTATCCTGAGTTGAGACTGCAGTTCAAATTCAAATACATACATACCTACTTCTATTTCTCTATTAGCTTCGCCAACGAAACGGTGCTTCGAATGCTCTTCATTCAGAGCTGTCACAGGTCTTAAGAGCCCTAATACCCCCAGATCCTTAATACTACAAAATTTGCCTACGCATGTGTCTGCCTTCACTACCGCAGTAATGTCTACCACACCAACCACCCCACCCACGGTCCAAGAACGGATCTCTCTTGCTACTTCCGAAAACAATCGTCTCTGCCAAATTCTCCGAGAAACCGACTATGCCCCCGCTACCATCAGGCAAACCAACTCCCACGTATCTACCGTCGCCGCTCGGCTAAAGACTCGTAACTCCCTCGTCCTCAACCTCGAGCGGCAGAGAAAGGAGCTACAAGCCGCAAATCAAAATTACAGAGATTCCAAAATGCGGAGATTCACGTATAACCTAGCCGGGAAGAAAGAGCAATTTGATGAGAAGACGGCAAATGTGGAGAAGGCCTTTTTGGATACGACGCGGAAACACGAAGAAGCTGTGAGGGACGTGGAATATTCGAAAGCGGAGTTGGCGGAGACGAGAAAGATGCTGATGGAGGCTGAGAAGGCAGACAGCAGGAGGACCAGCGCTCTGGCAGAGTTGGATAAGTTGCACGACGATATCTTCGAGGGACCGACTCCAGAGTTCCCCGAAGAGGATCAGGCGGAGTATCAAATTGCGGAGGCGTGTTTGAACCTGGAAAAGGCGCAGGAGAAACTTAAAAAGGAGGAGAGGTTTTATCAAAGGCTTTCAGATGCTAGTCGTGAGTTAGATGCGGCATACAGTCAGGTCCGGAAAGCGGCTGACGCGAGTGAGCGGTGTTTGGGTATGACGGGGCACACGTACATGGATCTGGAGGAGCAAGCTGCGCTAAAAAGGGCGAAGAAGCATTGCAACGAAATGGAGGCGCTCATGAGACAAGCACGGGATATGAACCCCGAGCTGGAGCCTTTGGGGCCCATGAACATCCCAAAACCTCATTCCCGGAGTAACCCGTGGCTCAATAATTATTTCGAAGAAGAGAGTAACCTTCGAAATATCGAGAATTCGGCGAAACGGTTGAGTAACGCAGCTAGGAAGATGACAGCCGAGAAGTGGGGCGCCCAGCGGAAAGTTGGATGGGAGAAGATGCAGACGGAGAAGGCGCAGATGAAAATAAGAGAGGAGAAAGACAAGCTGCGAGAGGTGAGACAGGGGATATTCCAGCAGGTAACAGGAAGCTTGCCGGAGTACCAGCCATAATCATACGCTCTATTTTCAACCGTTGAGGGCGAGTCCATAGCGTCTGGGTGGGACCTTTTACACTTCTCATATTAGACGGGATGGGGTGGAGTTTTTGGGTTGCTTTTTGCTTCGAATTTGGCTCGTTGCACAAAGATACTCCTTCCCGCGTGTTTGTTGATATATATTTAGACCTACTACCCAACGGCTCTCCAGCTGAAACGAATAGATATGACTCAAAGAGTCCAAAACTTCTTTAGAACCATAAGACAGAAGTTGGTTATATAATTTAACACTTCCCGCTACGCTTTCCACCAGAGGCTCTCATAAGGTCCATAATATTTGCCAAGGAGTCGCCAATTCGAAGATCCGAGCGGGAAATATTAAGAACCAACCCAACGCATACAATTGCTTCCCGAAATGCTTACTTCTGATATTGAGCCCTCCACCACTCAGCCTCCAAGTAAAAGAGCGAAAAGTGAGGCTCTTTATCCTTGAACTTTGCGAGAGCTGCAGAACATTTGTGGCGTTTAATCCTTCACATCTATTGGGCCTCTGCTGGCGGCTGGTTATGCATGGGTTGGTTGGGCTGTCTTCACCCCAAACAACAACATCATAATAATGAATGTCAAGAGGCGAAGTGAAGCCGACTCAGCCTCCGCGGGCTACATACAACCATATGCCCAGTCCTTCACGGCCGAAATGAAGACGCTTTCTAGTCTTCACCCACGGCGCCATGGATCTCGTCGACCACTTTAAACAGGAGGTCGAATTTGAAGAGGGATGCACAATTCACGTCGAGTACAGATCCGACCGAAGCCGAGGGGTACGCAGAGAGAAAGTCCTGAAAAGATGGTACAGAGAGCAACGTATCGGGTTCGGCGCATTCGGAGACATATGGCTCGAAGAGCAGCGCGATGGTGATGAAGTTAAGAAACGCGCTGTCAAAATTATCGACAAAGATAAGATGAAATACCTCCAGGTGGATTACAAAAAGGAGCTACTTGCGCTGGCGAAGCTTTCCAAGGAGCAATATCTTCAAGACGAGGTGTTTGTTGAATTCTTTGGGTGGTTTGAGGATGTGTCGAATGTTTATCTTCTCATGGAGAACCTTGAGCTCCGGGATTTGGAACGGCATATTACGGATTCTATCACAGAGGACGAAGTGCGGGATATAACGACGGATGTGCTTAATGGCCTCCGCATCATGCACGCGGAGAAATTTGCCCATCGCGACCTCAAGCCCGGCAACATATTTGTCGTCCAGAAGCCCCCAGAGCATAAATGGTCTGTTAAGATAGGAGACTTTGGAATCTCCAAGCGGGTTCATGATGCCACTGAACTTCGTACGATGGTCGGTACTCCTCATTACACAGCTCCCGAGATCACAGGGGACGTCGATACCGACGAGCCTACGTCGGTATACGATCATTTCGTCGATATGTGGTCCTTGGGGTGTGTTATCTACAAGGTCGCTACGCAGAAGGTCATATTTGACAAACCCAGAGATCTCAAGAGGTTCTGCTCTGGAAGAGCTCGATTCCCCGCGGAACCTCTCCTAGCAAAGATGAGTATGGAGGGGTTGGAATTCGTGAAGAACCTAGTCGTTCCAAACCCTCGGGGCCGCCTATCTGCTGAAGACGCCCTCGAAGAACCGTGGGTATCGCAAGGAAAGGTCGGAACAATCGCCGAGCACGATGAACGGGAAGAACCGTTCAAGCACGGGCGACTAGTTACGGGTGCTTTGGTTGACATCTCTGGGGAACAGAGTTCGAGGGACTTACTCAAACAGTTTTCGAGAACTACCATCGAACCTGTTGGGGCGGAAGAGCAGCTTATAGAGGATGTTAATCGTGAGTTGAACGGGCCTTCTACGGACCAGATGGATCGGACATCGGATCCAGACGCAGACGTAGAAATAGCCCACCGAGATGAGCAGACGGGACAAATCCTGATTAGTTCCAGACCATCAAGAGGAGCTCTAGACAGTATTATCGAGGACATGAAAACCACTGATCACCCATATGAACTGGGGCGCGAAACAATCGAACATCTGCAGGAATTGCTGGAGGAGTCTCCCCGGCAGGGGTCATCGATAGCAGGTACGGTTTCCAATATAGGAGCCGAAGATATAGTGGGACCGGGGTTGGGACAACCTCCAAGGCCGCGGTCAGATGAAGAGACGGAGCCCGGCCAAGAACTTGGTGCCGAAGAGTTGGAAACAGGAAGCCTATTGTTTAAGGAGGAAATTGAGAATGATAGCCTTTCCGCATTGTATGCGGCTTCTACGCGACGTATGGAACGGCTAAACACTAGGCTTAGAAATACGCTCCAGGATACTCAGAAAACTCAGGATGGGATTAACAGGCTCGAAAAACAGGTTGCCCATGATGCTGTTACCCAGAGAGCCGAACTACGAGACCGGGGATTATTAGAAAACAGCAAGCAAGGAAACGAGGGCACACATCTAGATGCCGAGGCGAAAGCCAAGATATTGAGGGCCGGCACAAGATGCACGATGATGTGAGAATGCTGTTGAAGGGATGGATAGAAGCACATAAAGACTCTCTTTCTATGGCGTTCGTGGGATAG